AAAAACGGGGGAAATTGTAGTGGATTGGTTAGAAATGCGAGGACATATGAACATGGCTAAGGCTATGGATGAGCTGCTAAAGTATAAGACGCAGTCTGACTAGGCTGAGATAGCAGGGCCATGAGAAAACGGCAGTGTCCTTGGGTATCCTAAATTGAGCTGAGAAACAGAGCTAGGCATTACCAAAACAAAGGCACTTAACGAGCCACCTGTGTAAACAGTGGGAAGCAGTTAAGATGATATCACCACCTAACTGAGCACCAATAATGAGCCTGATTTCTGTAATATTCATGAACCTATTATAGAGTGTATATTAAGCTACTGTCAATCTACAATAAACGAAGTTCCTGGATTCTCATATTGAGGTGTCTAGAGCTTTCCGTCGCGACGTTACGGCCATGATGATGATTCACTAAGAACCATAACTTCACATTCTTAAAGAGAGTTTTTAAATGAGGGACTGATCATTATTTTCTCCATGCTTCCCATAGCTGCAGAGTCCCTTGGGTGCCTTACCCCTGCCCCCCGAGGGCCCCAGCCCAGCCCAGCAGCCCTGGGCAAGCAGAGGGAGCTGCCACGGGCACAGTGCTGCTGCTGCTGCTGCCTGTGCTGTCCTCACGGGGGCAAGGGCTACTCTGGCAGTTTTAGACATTGTGGCAGCTTAATTTTCTGAATTTCCAATGATCCTTATTGCTTCTGATGCTCCACCTGGAAGCCAAATGAAAGTTTGCATCAAAGCTTCAGGAGTGCTGGGGAAAGGCAGCGCTGACATTGATCAGCCCATTTAGCTCTCTGTAACTGGATTGCTTGCAGACACATATGCTAGTACCAATTCATTTGCACTTAATTGATCACAATTTTTGTTTTATAAGAGCCAAATAATGCTCAAGAGGCCTCATTAGTGCTACAGTACTACTTAATTCTGCTGACTCAAAAGAAATCTCTCTTGTGAAACGAAGCAGGTAAACTTAGTGTCAGTTTAAATTCCATTGAAGTTAATAAAGGATCATTCATTCAATAAAAAATTCTTGTCAGTAAGAAAAAGCACAGTATTTGTAAGGCCTTCCTTTGATAGCAGGGTTTTAAGTTAACACCTGTCATTTCTTTAACCTACAAATTCTTTAAAAATGTCAAACAGTGAACATATTTTTGTACTATTGTCAAGCACAGAACCAACTGCTCATTTTCAGAGAGGTGACTATCAATCTCTGGCAGCATGAGCTATGCATCTGAACCTACCCTCTCATGCTTCTTCTAAACCACTAAACAGCAAAGGAGCTGAATCCACATAAAAAACCAAACAAACCAATCAACAAAACCAAAAGGAAAAAAAACCCAGAAGTTGCACTTGCTGTTCTTTCTTCTGCTGGAATCAGAAATTAACTTCCTCAGTTGCTTTCAGAGTGTGCACTGCAGAGATGCAGGGACCAGAGGGGACCAAAGCATAACCTGCCTGTCAGACCCTTCTCGGGTCGCTTGGCCAGAACATGTGGACAAGAACTCAGGGGTCACATTTTGCTAAACTAGAGGTTTTAAGTTAGCTGACCATAGACAAATCCACAATCCAGATTTGCATCTCTAAGCATTTGCACATCCCACATATTTTGTTGCTCTATGTTCTCCTAGTTTGGAGATGTTTCAGGGATTATTAAAGTATCAGAACATTTTTTCCCTGCTCATACTGCTCGCTTTAGTTTTCAAAAACCTGCTTTGTTACAGACAATTACATCTCATACTACACTTCATTACAGGTTTGCTAAAATACACTAAAGCAAGGTAAGGATGTCTCCAGCAGCCCCTCAGTTATTTGGGTTGCCTGTTTTCTGCTTTAGTATTAGAAAATTATCCCTTGCAGCTAACTGGCATTTCCCCTAACAGCACAGCTCCCCCTAAACTGAGCAAAAAGTCCCATAGAAACACCAGGCTTTTTAAATTTATGTACTCAATTCCAAAGAATACAAGTAATTAGAAACATGATCTAAATGGGAGGTACTGAATTACCAAGCTTAAACCTCTGTATTATTGTTGGTCACTTCATTCGTCATCAGTTTATCAATTTTAATCATAAAAATAGTTTCTCACTCTCCTCCCTGCAATTCCATAACTGTTCCCCAAACTTTACTACTCTGGGGGTAGTAACTTCTAATTCATGGCCATTTTGTTCCTGTGCCAACACTGCTGTTTAGCTCAAACAATTCTTTCTCCTGACATATTTGTAGACAGGAGATATTGCATTTTGTTTTGTTAAATTGTACAAAGGCAAGAACCACCAGAGGCTCTGCTGGTTTTGCTGCCTGTTACCTTGCTTTTGCAGAACCCCAGCCAAAGAAATCAGACCAAACATCTCATGTTAATCTGGCTCCAGTCAGACAGCAGCCAACTCCGTGGTGCAAAAGAGACTATTCACATAATGCAGAACATGTTCTGGGAGCAGAGGCAACTGCTAAGAAAAGCATGTAATATTGGTCCTGGAACCAAGAGATGTTGGAGGGTGGCACCCTTTCACAGCTGGAAGAGCAAGCTAAAGAGAGAGGGGACATTTGGCCAGGCACCAAGGACATAGGTTAGCGTGCTCTGCTTCTCTGGAGTGGCAAAGGAGCCAAATTTCTCGGAAGCCTCCATCAGTCTGGCACACAAACACCAGACTGGACCAGTGACACACTAGAAAAAGACTGAGAAAGTTTGAAGGGAGTGGGGGAACAGATTTTGGAGACAAAGAAAGAACAGGAATAAAAGTACTGAGATTTAGGACCCTGGTCAGCCAGGGCTCTAGTCCAGTGGCCACTCCAGGCTGTGCTGAGCTGCCTTTGGTGGAACACCATCCCTGTCCCTGCACACCAAATCCTCTGCAGCCAGGCTGAGCAGGATCTTGGTCCCTCTGTGTCCAATACAAGTGCCTCTAATGGCTCTGTGATTATCCAGGTGTTGCCTTATGACTAAACAGGACCTGTGCAATCACTGACAACAAGCAGTAAGTACAAGCTGGAGAGAGGAAAATTACTGTATTCCCACAAGGATTTTGAATCTCCAGATGGCACTGTAACATCATCCCAAAGAGCAGACGGTTTGGTACAATAGCAAATTGTACAGTAACAGCTGAGCCAGTCTGTCTCCTGTGCAAAATTACTCATCCCACTGAAACCATGATTTACAGGCTACAAATGTTAAAGCTGCATTCCCACTTCAAACCTTAGATATGAAACTTTGTGCATATTGTGTGTATAGCAGCTGGAGAAAAACAGCCTGCTTTTTCCTAGTACCCAGATTTAAACCAAGACCTTGCCAATTAATACCAAGACCTTCAGCAAGGTCCTAGATTTAGGTCACATGTCTGTCATTCTTGCCCTGGGAGGTAATGCCTCTGTACTGCAAAGTGATAGCAAAACTGGGAAGGGCAAGGGATAAGTGTCACGTCTGCTGAGAGTGCTGCAGGTTTGCCTTTCTGGTTTGCATCGCAGCTGCTGGCACAGCCAGCTCCTCCTTTCAGCAAAGAGCAGAGCTCTCCCACACAGGATTCCCACCCAACAGCAATACAGAAGGCATTGCAGAGATCTTAGCAAAACAGTTTAACATCCCACTGTAGGCAGTCATGTCATATCACACTCTATGTTAACCTGTCAAGCTCTGTCTCAAAAACCATATGATTTCTTGCTGGCTGCTGAAAGCATGAAGAGGTTTCAGAGTATCAGTTTTCAGTTAGAAAACTTCATGCATGAAATGACCTCCTACATGCAGCAAAGGTTGCACAAATACAGAACATACACCAAACAAACATACAGAAAGCTGAGCTGCACCTTGGCCTGCTTAGGTGAGCAGTGGAAATAAAGGATGAAACCACCAAACTCCTCGAAAAACCAAATATACACTGTGATTCAACACTGTAATTCAAGCAAATTTCAAGAATCTGTCAAAAAGAAAGGCCCTTCTCAAAGTCCAGTAGGTTTCCCTCACAGCTGCCTGTATTTAATATAGCTCAGCTTTCTTTTGACAGGTTTTTACCCAGTAGAGTTGATTTTTAAAGACATTTCAGCATTTCACTGTGATGGTCGCTGAAATGCTGGAGCTGTTCTTCAAGACAACTTAAAAAACACTCTGTGTTCATTGAGCTAGCTCAATTCTGACCTGTTAATCATCATTAAAACATCAGCTGACACAAACCACCTGGGTGACTAAATCCAGACCCTCAGGCAAACATATAATGAGTACTCATTCTTCAAGGTCCTTAAAACATCTGCTCCATGTAGCCTCAACATTCCCCATCCATTTCTGCTTATTATGATGAGGTCCTGAGAGGCAGCAGCAGATGACCCAGAAGCTGAGGCTCACGAGCTGCAGATTCCCTGCTCCCAGGGAGAGTGTGGCTGGAACGGTGGCTCACAGACAGGGGCATGGAGCTGTTTGTGCACACAGTCATGCCAGCTAGCCTGCTGCCTGTTTTCACCAAAATCTGCAGCCTCTCCTTGTCTCCTCAGTCTTAATACACATTTAAATTTTGATTTCTCTTTGGCTCCTGCCATTCCGTCCTTATACCCTACTTATTCAGGACCTTAATGTACTCTACTAACATCCTATTACAAGAACAAGATTCTCCAGCTAGATAAAAGATAAAATCCCCATGCTGGGCAGCTAAAGCAAACAGTACTGCTTATATTTGAACATGAGGTACTGACAACAAGGATTAAATAAGTAACCATAAAAATATTTTCAGATTGTCTTAAAGTACTTGCACAGCTGAGGAAATTGTAGAGTGCTTGTGGACATTTGGGGAACAAGTTTAATGAGACTATTATGTGCTGAATATTCATCCAAACCCAGTTTTAGGCAGATTACGGTGTCATAAATATTAGATTGAGAGGCAGATTGTGCTCATTTTGTTGTGTTGGAGAGTTCTAATACAAAGCTACTAACGTTTAGCAAGGGATAATACAAAATACATCTGAGCAGTTGGGGCTAGTGGGGACATACATACTAGACTCTGTTCATTGCAGTAGTGTTCTTACATTTTTAAATCCTCTGTAAAGCACTTGAAGTTCTCTTTTTGTGAAATTGGTTTGTGCTTCAAGCTGTTCGAGTCCCTCGGGTCTATGGCACACTGTAGTCATTTCTAATTCATCTTCAATTTTATCTGAAAGAAAAGACAGGGAAATATTTATTTTGGTTGTTACCTTTGCTCTATTAACATGATGGATAGGACAGACTGAATTTGCAGAGCAACAGAAGAAAAAGAAACCATCAACAGAACTGATCTGTGTAACTTGAAAGCAAAATAAAAGCCATAGGAGTAAAGCAATAGCTCACATTTCTTACTGGGCTGCCAGTTAGTTCCCCATACACAAAGCCAAAACTGGTGGTAAGAGCAGGCAGCAGGTACATTGCTTGAAAAGGCAACACCAGACATTTCATACTTAAATATTGGAACATCGTGGAGGAATAGGACTTTCAAAGCACTAGCTTTAAAGAAAGCTGTGCAAATATACATGAGAGAGCAGACATGCTTAAGCATATTAGACAATGACATTATAGTGAGGGTGATCAGTGAGGGAAACTCGTCTGTGTTCTGATCAAAAAGTTTGCTACAGAGACATCAAAAGTCACTTTAGTCCTAAGAGAAATTCAAGTAATGTTCACAGTTGCAGAATCTGGATTGAATCCAGCCTGCATTTGCATGGACTTTTTGGGGAACCAGATAAGAAATGCAAAACACTTATGTGCATTTTATTCAAGAGGGTGTTCTTCCACACGGAAGAAAAATACTTGAGACCTATCACATGCTGTATTACCATAATCTCACTTCTATTTTGATGCATGTTTTCTCCTGTCAAGCCCATTTCCCCAGCAGTGTATGCAATGCCCAAATACATAGATACTTAGTGTTGATGAGTTTGGGATTCTTTAAACTTTGAGGACCAGATCCAGGTTTCAGCTGACATGAAAATCGAATCTACATCCAAAAGTTGCTTGGTATAAAAGCTAGCAACTCCTTATTGTCAAAAACTGCACAATTTATCCCTTGTAAAAATGTTTTAGGTTATTTGGCTCAAGAATAATATAGTAATTTATGCTGTAAGACAAGGATGTAATGAGAAATGTGCAAGGAAATAGAGTCACTTTGAATAGAGGAAAGGCATGAATTCAGAGCACACTGGCTCAGTGAAAGAACAGACCAGACCAAAGCTGTATTTTTATAAGTTAATTAATTCTGCATACACACACACACATGCACATATATATATATGAACGTTTTTAAGGGAGGACACAGGACAGTGAGTGCTAATGGTTAATTAACATTGGTTCACTGTGCCAGTATTAAGAAATCAGTTAGAAATATTGGTGAATTGAGCCATCCTCCTAATCCACCATATCTGGACTGTCACAGCCAGCATTTGTAGGGCTTGAGCAGCTAAAATACATGCCTAAATACTGTGTTGAAGGTCCCTTGCACAGCAAGGGCATAAAGGTAAGAGATGTAACAGCGAGGGACAGGAGCAGAGTATCACAGCCATTTATGGTGCAGAAAAAGTGACCGAATGATGGCAGGTGGCCAAAAGAGGCCTGAAGGACACACCTTTCCCACACAAAGGGAAAATGAAGAGTCTAGAAATTACAGCTCCTGTTAGAAGAAAGGAGATGAAAAACATTGTCTGCTACAGGTAAAAGAACTATTAATGTAAAATAAGGGGGGAAATCCATTTTCTTTGCATGAGAACTAATGCCACAAAATGAAGGAATGCAGAAGCTGTAAAGAGAGAAAAGTGTGGGGAAGAAATTCTTTAAAATGAGGCAAGAGAAATGAGTGGCTGGAAAATGGAGAGGAAATCCATTTAAAAGGGAGCCATGTTAGGGAAACTCATGACTAATCCATACATTGCACAGGAGATACCTTTCTAGTGACCTCTGGTTAACCATAAGTTCTCTAAACCTTTCCCTTAACAACATGCACCTAACCTGACTCCTCTCCTGTGCACCCGCAGTCCCCCAATGCCATAAGCAGTTTACACAGGACCTTGGTAGGCATTTGCTTTTCCTCTGTGCAAGGTAGGCGTGGAGCCTTTCTTTGATCTCTAACCAGCCAAACACACACAGCTTCTCTCTGACATTTCCTATTGCTTGACTCTCCCTTAAGTTCTTTCCAACTTCAGTCTGTAAACTCTAAGTGTAAAATACCGGCTAACTAGTCTTTATATCCTATAATTTACAGAGAGAGGAAGATAAAAAAGAAATATCTATGGAGCCTCACATATTTGGTGAGGCTGATGAGGGAAACCAGCCTATTGGAATATTCTCATACTTGCTTTTATTTATGCACCTACAATGCATAGGTTTCTACAGAGGCAGGAAAGATCCAGCTGAGAAAAGTCCCATTCTTTTGCAAGGACATTTTGATATGACTAATTTTTTATGGGTATTTTTTTTTTGCCATATATTTTCTCAGCCAGGTTTTCCAAACACTTACTGGAATTAGTGTTAGTATTCTAAAATACAAGTAACTAAAGAAAAAGGTCTCACTCAAGAAAACTTGCTCTCTAGCTCCACGATAGTTTTAAACAAAATCTGCAGAATTAGAGCTTGAAATTCAGAGTTATCCTGATGCCATTTATACAAGAAGACCCAAAATTATGGTCTTGGAATTATTTTTTTCCCAAAATATTCTGGAATAAAACATTACTTGGTAAACACTGTATTTTAATAATGATATTTGTCTTTTGCCTGTACTGACTTCATTCAGTGAATCATTACTTCAAAGGAGTGCAACTCATCTCCTTCACTTTGTCCTGCAAGAATAGGCTTTTCCAGCAATGAGCTTGGGTCCCACAAGGCAGGTATTTCTATGTTCAAAATAAGCCATATTATTTTTGTAGATTTGATTCTATTTTCTATGCTAGAAATGCATCTCTTTTCTCATAATAAACTGCAGAAAGAAAATTATGAAAAATTTATCCCTCTCAAAGGGACACTCTATTTTTTCCTTCTGTTCCCTATTCCAGAACCTGTGTTAAACTCTGCCTCTAAAGAGGATCTGATGGTTCCCTGTGGGTTAATCCTTTCATCTGTTTCCACTTCCTCTCCCAAGGCAAATATTTTAAAGTTTAGCGAAAGAACTTGGGAAGATTTAGATCTGGCCAAGGGGGCATTCAAAACACCACCAGACCAACCATTTTCCATAAAAAACCTCAAAAATGGTAGAAAGCTGTTCCTTCTGTGGAACATGCCCGAATGCAGCAGAGCAGTCCTGGGCATTTCTTGAAGCCTCACCACAGAAAATAAATACAAGAAAGACATGTTGGGTCATTTTGTCTATCACTTGCCAACAAAGAGCTATTTTCCATGATGCTTCATAATACAACTTATTTTAGGAGTAACAACTTCACAGCCAGCATGGGTTTAGGAAGGGCAGGTCCTGTCTGACCAACCTGATCTCCTTTCCTGACCAGGTGACCCACCTGGTGGATGAGGGGAAGGCTGTGGATGTGTCTGCCTGGACTTCAGCAAGGCCTTTGACACCGTCTCCCACAGCATTCTCCTGGAAAAGCTGCAGCCACGGCTTGGACAGGAACACTCTGTGCTGGGTTAGGAACTGGCTGGAGGGCTGGGCCCAGAGAGTGGTGGGGATGGAGCTGCATCCAGTTGGGATCTGGTCACCAGTGGTATCCCCAGGGATCAGTGTTGGGCCCAGCTCTGTTTAATATCTTTATTGATGATTTAGATGAGGGGATTGAGTTCACCACCAGCAAATTTGCAGATGATACTAAGCTTGGGGGTTGTGTCGATCAGCTGGAAGGCAGGAGGGCTCTGCAGAGGGACCTGGATAGGTTGGAGAGTTGGGCTGATTCCAACAGGATGAGGTTCAACAAGGCCAAGTGCTGGGTCCTGCACTTTGGCCACAATAACCCCCTGCAGTGCCACAGGCTGGGCACAGAGTGGCTGGAGAACAGCCAGGCAGAAAGGGACCTGGGAATTTGGATTGACAAGAAGCTGAACATGAGCCAGCAGTGTGCCCAGGTGGCCAAGAAGGCCAATGGCATCCTGGCCTGTATCAGGAACAGTGTGGAGCAGGAGCAGGGAAGTGATTCTTCCCCTGTACTCAGCGCTGGTGAGGCCACCCCTGGAGTGCTGTGTCCAGTTCTGGGCCCCTCAGTTCAGGAAGGACATGGAGGGGCTGGAGCAGGTCCCAGAGGAGGGCAACTAGGCTGGTGAAGGGACTCAAGCACAAGTCCTATGAGGAGAGGCTGAGGGAGCTGGGGCTGTTCAACCTGGAGAAGAGGAGGCTCAGGGGAGACCTCCTCACTCTCTACAACTCCCTGACACAAGGTTGTAGTCAGGTGGACGTTGGTCTCTTTTCCCAGGCAACTATCAGCAAGACAAGAGGGCATGGTCTCAAGTTGTGCCAGGGGAAGTTTAGGTTAGATATTAGAAAGAATTTCTTTCCAGAGAGGGTGGTCAGACATTGGAATGGGCTGCCCAGGGAAGTGGTTGGATTCTCCGTCCCTGGAGATTTTTAAAAAGAGACTGGATGTGGCACTTAGTGCCATGGTCTAGTAACCGCAGCGGTAGTGGATCGAGGGTTGGACTTGATGATCTCTGAGGTCCCTTCCAACCCAGCTGATTCTATGATTCTATGATTAATAGGCCTCACAGATCAAACATCCCCTCCCTGTGTTCAGCCCATTTCAGCTTTTTTCAGTTGTCATCCCATATTCAAAGGTTTTCCTTCAGCAACCTCCCTGTTCATCCTTCCTCCCTTCCTGGCTGAAGTCTGCAGTGGGGACCTGGAGCCAGAGACCTGAGGACACAAACTGCTCTTCTGTGCAAACTGATCTTTTCCAACTCAATAGTCCTCAACCTCTATGAAGAATTTTTTGGTCCTTATTTGTTTCCTTTCAGCCCTTGCTCCTAAGTCAGCTCTTTTCAACCTTCTATTCCCTGACGCCCTATAAATTAACCACAGTAACCTCAGTGGCAGAACAGGAAATTATCACTTCCTCCTCTGCCCTTACCTTTTATCATGAATATAGTATTTCCTTTTATTTATATTTTCATTATCATGCTCGCTTGGTCCCTCCAGCTCTTCAGAGATGTCACTATATGAAATATGAGCCCCTGCATTTATAACCACTACAGTTTTAT